CCTCTCTAACTTACCAATGCTGCTCCCAACCCCCTTGCACATACTGCAGCTATTATCTGGAAAATGCATTGGTCAAACTTTGTTGCTTTTGCTACATTGGTCTGAAGTACTCAAATGCTATGTATACTGGACAGACTTACTATTTTAGGCAATAACGCCCTCAAACATTCTGTGCCTGCTGTGTACGAGCTGTCTCATAAACCAGAAAATTCATAGAATCAGGGGGTTGGAAGGGACCTCAAAGGCCGTTTAGCCCCCACTTTGCACAGATGCACAATCTGCTGTTGCTAAACCATGGAAGATAGATGCCTATCCAAGCTCTTATTGAAAACTTCCCTAAGCAGTTTGTTAGTGTACTCTAGTTGTAACAATTAGGAAAGTTTTCCTGAGACTTGATCTATATCTGCTTTGCTGTAAATTAAACCTATTGCTCCTCATTTTGCCTTTTGTGCCAAGGGAGAACAATTTTTCTCTTCCTTTGTATTTGAAAACCACAATTCTAGTCTCTTTTTTTCAAGTCAGCCTCCTAAGTATTTATAATAGATGACAGGAGACTTTCTTGCACCTGATACTGGGTTAATAAAGAAGGATTGTTCAATTTGGATGGTTGTTCATTCAAACAAAGCAATTATCTCTTAGGTTTGAACTTGGGGAAGGAAGGGGTGGAAATGAAGCTATGGCTTACTTTTGCAATGCTGGTCAGAATATTGACTGACAAAGGAGGTTGGAGGTCATACTCATAACAAATTTGTCTCTTTGTCTATTAGGTGCAGTAGGGGAGGGGGCGAAAGGGGTTAAGAAAGAGACTCCATGTTCCAGAGAAGCCACTTGGAAGAGGAGAGAGAGGAACGGCAGGTCATGGTTTCTTAATAGAGGACCCCTTTTTAATTGAGGGAGAAATGGTGGAAGAAGAAAACTAGCCACAGAAAAAAGAAACCTAATAATGATTCAGAGGAGAAGCTATGTAGAGGAGGGGGCCAAGGGAGAACTTGGAGTCCTTGGAAGTCTCTGATTTGAGCCTAAAGTACACTTTGAGGATACTGAGGCAGGAATATGCATGCAGGTATTCTTTTTCTTGTTTAGTCTGCAGCTTTGTGTTTAATGTACTCACTGATGTGAACAACAGTTGTCTTTCAGTATTGTGCACCCCAGGGCACACAGTCCTAGGGGGCAAGGTCTGCTTAGATTACTGAGTAGTTTTAAGGTCTTTGGTCCTCCCAGGAGGGAGGCCTGGGCCAGCTGGTCTGCAAAGATATCACTTCCATAAAAGCATAACTGTCATTGAATCCTAGAGTGATAGAAAATTAGGGTTAGAAGGGATGTCAGGACGTCATCCAACTCTGCCCCCTCTCAAAGCAGACCATCTTCAACTATATCATCCCAGCCAAGATTTTGTCTACCTGGGTCTTAAAAACATCCAAGGATGGAGATTCTGCATCTCCTTTGGGTAACCTGTTTCAGTGCTTTACTATCTTCCTCATGAGAAAGTTTGTCCTAATATCAAACTTTCTTTGCTGTAACTTGAGACCATTGCTTCTAGTTCTATCATTTGCCACCACTGAGAACAGTCTAGCTCCATCCTCTTTAGAGCCCCCATTCAGGTAGCTGAAAATTGCTATTAAATCCATTTCTTTTTCTCCAGACTAAACCAGCCCAGTTCCCTCAGCCTCTCCTCATAAGTCATGTTCTCCGGCCCCTAACTATTTTTGTTGCTCTCTACTGGACTCTTTCCAACATGTCCACATTCTTTCT